TGTGAGGGCGACTACAACCACTTGATCATTCGATGGGCTACCCCGGACAACGACGTTTGACGAAGCGGGCAGCAAGTGAAAGGTCATAGCTGACAAGGCTCGGGAATGAAGTGGAGGCATAAGAATCGTGACCAGGGAACTTGATCATACAGAGCGTATTAGGCATCCCATTTGAGGGCCTCGTATCAAACCTCATCGAGAGTCAGAGACAATAAGTGGTGTGCCTCAGTGTCATGGCGCTCGTGCATTTACTACTTAGCTACGCACACATAGGTCACCGCACTCCTCATTGGTTTTTGGTACTGCTATCAACTTTGAACTACCGCCGTTCACTCATTCATCATTTCTCGATAAGAATGTGAACAGAAAGATAGCAACTAAAATCGACAGAAGAGAGTGAAATGTTCATTATCGTTCGGACTGAATCTAAAACAGATAAAGCGGAATGGAAATCACTAGAAATTTATGAAGTGAAGAAAAAGCTGAGGTAGATGCGAATATAGTGGAGCTGTGAACCATCCCAAACGATTTGATTTTAATTGCTGGTTTGGTTGCAAGTTTGGTAATCTCTGTAGGTTTTTGAGTCACTCGACGAAAAGTATTTTTTCATCGCCAACACCGCCAAAAATTCCGATGATCATGTTGATTCAGTCGGTTATCAATGAACCATGTCTGTTGGCTATTTTTGACCCTTTTTATTACACACATTTGTGCGATGAACAGTAGTCGCGACGGAAAACAGTAACCTAAACCTCGGGACTTGGAGTGGCAAACCACATAAGGCCCCACTATAATAACTCTACTCGACTTGTCATTGATTTATGTGATATATTCGAGATTTATTCGGCGCACATAATTACCTTACAGTAACTCGTGTGGAGTGGAGTGAGATATTGGTCTCGAGCAACGGTCCTTCAGACTTGATGTTCACAAACAGTTCTCAATTTATCTAGACAACCATAGGCTCGGGGACCATTAGACTTGTACTCCGATCCTGTCGGAGCCCATCAAGTCAAGTTAAGGAGTTCTACACACCCTGAATTTTCAACACAAATCGACCAGCGTGACCGAGAGTAGACTCCGGGATTTTCGCATGGAATGCGTGTTGTTGTTGTGCCCAAATTGATAATCCAAACAGACTTGATTTAAGTCGTCTGTGTACAAGATAACCAAACGAAAGGATAGTATAGAGAACATTGCGAGACTCACTTCAACCACAAGAACTTGCTCCGGACCGAGACCCACGGTACCCATCAGTCCTGAAATTTCTGTCCCGGTCCAAACCTGAGTCGGCTGGGCAGATTCACCAACATGAACCAGCCGAGATCGTGTCAACTGCATCACACGAAGCATTGCCGCGATCTAGAATAAGACAGTGAACAATAAAAACAACTTGGCTCGCTTTGTATGAGTATCACCGTCAATCGGTAACCCCGATCTTAGTACACCAGCACCGTGTTAATAGCAAGTTTAACTTGGTTGAGAAAATAAAAACTTATAAAACATCCGTATCTGCAACTTATTTCACATTGTATGTCTATTTCTCAACCGGTTTGGTTGTGCTGAAGAGCTTTCACCACATGGAATGCTCATACATCACTAGTCTTGACTTCATTCATTCGAAATCGACCCTGTTGTTAAGCATCTTTTTAAAGACCACGGTTATGTAAAAATAAGCTTAGTATCAACACCAATTATTAGCAATACAAACATGAAAACATAGGAATTCATCCTTTATAGAGCAGATGAACTGTGAACTCAAAAACTAGAAAACACTAGGCAGCTGTTTGGACCTGGTTAGGTCCCATCTGCAGTGAGAATCCACTGACCAAAGTGGGGATCGAACCAGGGACCTCGAGGCAGAACGCCAGCATGCTACCCACTCGGACACCGGGAAACTGATAAAACCGTTTTTCATTTTCCAGTTACACTCAAATGCTGCATGAAAACAATTCAATACACTCAGTTATAGACGCTTTGCACATTTTACTGTTCTACATTATCTAACATTTCATCCCGAACGCGTTGTCCACTTTTCGCCCAAAACTCAATGATCTGATAAATAACATCGAACAAACCTGCTATCGAAACAACTAGACTCATTGCAGAACAACAGCTCGGGGGAGCGAAATTATGCATACTTCATCCCGATGACACCTGTGTCATTGCATGGCCTGGTCCGTCGTGGAAAAAAGTATTGCGCGAAAACAACGTCGCAACTATCCGATGAGCGTCATTAGCATATCATCTTTCACATATATTTTCGGTTTTACATGGTTGTCTTCAATTGCTCCACGGAGAATAATCTGATGGATATTCTGGAGAATAAGCGATGCCGTTAGCATTGTGTAATATTTTTATTCGAAACTGTACTTCCGACCAATGTACACTTGAGTGTAGCCCAAAAGGCATCAAGATCGTTCTCATCAAGATGATAATCGACTATCAGGCTGGTTCGTCTCTGGAAAGACTTATTCAGCAGATCGATCGGAAGGAAAGGCAATAAGTTTAGCAATGGCGGATCCCATTTGTTACGTGACAGTACAGCTGTCAAAATCTTGTGGCGTTTGCAAAGCAAAAACCCATAACATTCTCGGGCACCACATCTGCTCGTTCGGGGCCGCTGATTTGGTCAGCTCAAATCTATCCACTTCATAGCTAGTCATTGCTTCCTTTGGAACGGTCTGTCACATACCTTCTCCTCAAAACGTCAGTCACAGTTTAAGTAGATGCATGCAGCATTACTCGATAGTTCATCCTAAGTTGCCAAACAGATAAAAAATAGGGCACCTTCGAGGAATGTCATTAATGACATCGAACACTTCTATACTTTGTCACTTCACCGTCAGTTTTTTATCTATTTACTTCACCACAAGTCCGCGAATACCGTGTGTTCAATTAATTCTGAAAACAAACATTTATATACAAATGGATGGAAGGCTTCGAGGTCAACCGAACTGATGATTCATTATTGACCAAAAAGCCTAACATTACGGTCAGTGATATGGCTGATGCAATCTGAGCACTTGGTGTACACTATCGGAATAATCAAAGTCTGTTCATGGATAACAGTATCCTGGTGATGACAATGACTGAAACTAGGTCAATCTTACCATCTGTCTGTTATGCCCTAGAGAAGTTATAGTCTTAACAAAAACTTTTGGTAACATCACAACTGTGAAGAAATAAGACGAAAACTGGCCAGAACCAGAGGTTCTTAATTCACTTGGGTTTGGGTGACCTGACAGTAATACGCCTACAAACAAATCACAGGTTTATTTTTTGGACATTGTACCACGATTTGTTTGCAATATATAGGCGGACTTCAAACAAGCGTGATTTGAAATGCAACATAGTGGCCCAACGTTCGCTGCTCGGACACCTAATAGCACTTTTCATTCGATTGAGTTTACGACCCTTAATGAGTAATCACGTATGGATAGTGATGTGGGATATGTGGCATGATTCATTTCAAATGAATACCCTTAAGAATCCATCCTTAAGGATTAGCTTCAGTTCATCAACTATTCAACCGAGGAGCAAGGAAAGTAAGTTTCACACTCGAAAGAGTTCAACAGTGGTCCCTATCGATGGACCCATCAAGGATCTGAATTCCAGAGCTATCGCACAAAGGGCATGCACTTGCACTGACAACCAGCTTCATTCAGAGTTCAGCTATAGCAAAGATATACAAAAGCAGACCTTGGACTTGGGCCCAAAACACAATTATCGGTCATTTGCGCATCGCTCAAAACCACGCGTCAAGACAAAAAGCGTTTAGTGTTTTCGATAACATTTTCACCCATTTTTCGCAACGCAAAGACAGAAAGTGGTTTATAGAATAACTATATACAACAGCTAACCGCTTCACATTTTCCCCGGACAGAATACCACTTACCATTGAGATTAGCTGTTCACAAGACTCATTCTCTACATTTTGTTTGACTAAAAGAGAAAATCAAACGCTGTTGGGACCATGACGTACCCAAATTCTCCAAGTCTTCTTTGGTTTTCATCAACTGATAGTCCGTAATTTTGAACGAAGCAGACTCACGAGAAGCATCTTCGATGTTGTGTGCCTCATCCAAAATCACAATATGTCCGCTGAGTTCAATTGTGGTCTGAACAATTATCACCAGGCGAGTAACTAACGTTATGCAACAGTGCACTTACCGCTGACCGATTAATCGGATCAAGCAAATAGTTGTACGGACAAAATATGATGTCCGCGGTTTTGGCCAGTTTACGTGAACAATAATAAGGACAACTAGGAACCTGAATGCGAGTGGCAGGAAAATGAACAATGCCGAGTATGCTTACAGGTGTCAGGGCGGTAACAAGATCTTCGATATCCCACGGCCCACCCGCGTCCAGTTTGTTAATCGTGCGTACTAGATCGGACTTCTTTCGCGGCAGGTCGAACTCACAAACACCAGACTACAGAGGTTAGATTAGCGTAATCAGACGAACTTGTAACAAATTCTGACACGCTTCCGTAATATTTGGTGATTTTCTAATAGTTGGATTAATGCATGTGTGCTGTCGACTGCTCAAAATGGTCATTCTACACAAAACACCGAGTTCCCAGTGTGGGATGATGGATATTTTTACTTCACACCTACTTTGCATTACGATATTTGGTCTTTCGCAGTTCACGAACAATTTGTCCAATCTGTTTGTGTGTACGAGTGCAGAAATAAATTTTCGGTATTTCCTTCCTACAATCGGATTAGAAACATTACAACAGCAACCCGGTTAATATCTAACAATGCTTAAATTACTCGGTTTCTTTCTGGTCTTCCGTGCATTCACATAAACTATGCGAAGCCTCCGGATCCAGAGATTCTTTCGCGTCTAAAGTGATGGACCAATTATGAACCCCATGACCGATAGAGACGTACGCTTCTCGTCTGTGGTAGAGCCATCAGTGTTAGTACGGTGATCCCAACTAACTGAGGAAATAAGTATTTGAAAAGCCTACGTGGAACGTACCATCAACTTCAATCGTCTCCTTATCGACTGCAAATATGAGCGCATGACACAAACAACACTGCTCTACATACCGAGTTTCTTGTTTACCCAAGCCAGGGAGGCACACAGTAGCGATAGAGTTTTTCCAGTACCGGTAGGTGATTCAAGCAAACAATTTCTTCGCGACTCCAATGCCTCCACAACCTGGGTATGAGAAATAGATGATAAAATGTGCCTCGCCACAACGTACTCGATTCATAATGGAAAGTTGGCAACCGTATGGTTTATACGGGAAATTGACGGGAATGCCTTGAATTAAAAAGTCCATCTGAAAAAGGTGAAACATATAAAGGGACGGAATACAGTGGGAGACGAGAAATGCAACACATAGAAACATGATCTCAACAAAAAGCACTGATTTTTAGCTAAGTAATTGTCTGTGCACACATTGGTGATCGATTTCATTGATTTGAGTGAGCGTAGTTACAGCTTTTATTTTTAAAACCATCAACCATGCACCTCGTGCGTCGGGTTCGGCCTTTTAGCTGCCCATTTGGATAATGGAGGGGAATGAAGATTGCGACACTTAGCCATATCACTCAGCGTCTCTAAACACCGACGACCACGATCTCGAAGTCTCCATTCAGAGCCTAACGGTACCGATGTAACCGGGTTTCCTGTTTAGGGATTTCCCATCCTCATCCCAGGTTTAAGTTTGTCCGCTTTTGATCTTTTCCCATCCGCTGTCTGCCTGGGCAAACATCGTGCGCCGTGGCAACCCATTCGTTGACATACACAACATATGTTCCAAACATCATAGTCTATGGAGGTCGACCACTAATTCCAGTGGACGACCGCGATTAACTTCAACCCCGCGCCTAACCTCAACATTCCGTATCAGACTCGTGCAATGCGACGAACACCGCGGAGTTCCAACAACGACAGTCTACTTTTATCCTGTTACTCAAATCGCCACGTCCCTGCACCGCACAGCAGCACCGGCCGAACTGCTGCAGAATACACACGGCCCTTCATTAACAGCCGAATGTCGCGACGGTGCCACAAATGTTTCAAGTTGGCAAATGCCAACCGAGCTTTCTGTATGCGCGCCGACACTTCATCTGAGACGGGTCCGCCTGGTGAGATATAGCTACACAAACAGTAAAATTTGTCTACTCCCTCTAATACTTCCCCAATTGGAGTGAGCTCGGGGGGTCGGCCAATCCAATCTTGGAGCAACACTAAACTTTGAGGGTACAAAATGCATGTCGAACATGGCTACACAAGCACTCAGGTTATCCAGAAAAGTTCGCACGCAATACGTGACCTAACCAGCCAAACCAAATGAACTGAATTGGATGTTCTAGCTACCACGGTATCCTGGTCCTCATCCAGAGTTCAGTTCAGTTCAGTTTAAACAACCATTACCACGCATATTCGAGCGTCGGTTTTGGTTGCTGTCTTTTGGTCGCCCATTTAGATGAAGAATAGGAGAAGAAAGGAAAGTTGAAAGTGGAGTCGAAAGGAAAATGGAGAAGTTCAGTGGTCTAAGGTTGGAAAGAAATTGAGGAGATGCACGAACGCCACTGTTTACGACACCCAGCCATATCGCTCAGTGTCTCTAACCATCGATTACGATCATCCCGAGTTCCCCAGCCAGGGAGCCTAACAGGACCTATGTGACCCAGTTTCCTGGTTAGGGTTTTCATACCCTCGTGC